GATAGAGAAGAAAAACATAATTTATTAATAATAGATAGATTCCAGCTTTGGTTGAGAGGGTAAGTCTTGTGCAGCATCCCACTATGTGAGATAACATGCTGAGCCATTATCTACAATTTGAACCACTTTAGCATTGTCTTTGTTTTTTGTTGTCTCCATCTTTCTGGTTTTTGTGCTTACCAGTTACACAAAGGAATAAGATCTTGTCTTTTAAGGATATTTCGGTCTTAAACTACTGCATTCGTAAAAATTGTAGTGCCCAAGACAAATTAAGGAATCAGTTCCCCAACAAGGGGAATTGGTAAAAAGAATTACAAAAAGTGAGAGAGATATCTTCTTCTGTTTTTGTTGTTGTAACCGTTAGTATTAGTTGTGCTTCCCCTTTGTACATATTTTATTCTCTCAAAGATAATGAGAATTTTTCTGCAGGTGACTGAGTTCTGCAAATTATAGTAACCAATTCTTGAACTAGAGAGATTTCGATGTTTATGAAGTCATGCAAATGAGAATGATATCAAAGAACCAATTCCTCTATACGAAGAGGATATTAAGAAACAGTTCAATTAAGATTTAACTTCTTCATAAGTTTGATTACTTCTCATTAAGTTTTTATTAAAAATTATTTTATCGTGCATTCATAATTTTTATAGTTTTTATTAAGTTTTTGTTGTTTGATTGATGTCCACGTGATCATAATTTTATTTTATGTCGGGGTTGCTTTACATGTTTCTATATAAAAAAAATAAGAAATACATAAATTAAGTTTAAATTTGCCATTAAAAAAATTAATATCGATTTTAATCTTTATATTCATAGCAATTATTCAATATTTCTTTTTAATTTATTTTTTATTCAATATATTTTATGTGAGAATCTAAAAATAAAATATTAGAAGTGATAGGATCTGCTAAATAATTAGAGTCAATTATTTTAATATTAAAATTTTAAATTTATAATTAGAATTTTAATAAACAAGTTTCATTATCTAGAAGAACATTATCTCTTTAGAGAAAGAACTTTTCTCTAGAGATTTTCTACCATCCCTTTAAGTTTTCTCATTTTTTGTTCATCTGTTTGAAGATCAAAGAGTATCTAAGTGATCACTGGGACAAGGTCTTCAAGTCTATAATTACTTTGTTAGTTTGTACTATTTTCTCTAGTTTGTCCATGCATGTGAGTATTGTTATGTTGCATGCATCATCTAAGTCTTATATAAGACTCTCTACTAATCAGTTATACTAACAATATGCTCTGATCATTATTTTGTGGTTTATAGGAGCAAAAAGAGTTCCTTGAGCTGAAGGAGTCATTATAGATTCAACACTGAGCTTCTACCAGGTAAAGGACTACTATATTTTAAAGTCATTAATATGTTTTTAATTTATGATGTATGTTGAATTTGATATGAATTTATGGTTTGGTATGGAATTTTTATATGAATATATATGGTTTCAAGAGAAGTTTTTTGTGTGGTTTGAAGTTAGGTATGTGTTGATGTAAGGATTATGTATTGGGGTTATCCTGATATTCGAATAATCATTCAATCTCAAGTAGAGAATGGTGGGGTATGTAGTGAGAAGAACAGAAGGTCCTAGTCTAGGGGTTTTACCTTGGTCTAAAGTGTTAACGGACTAATCTTATGTGGGGTAGGATAAAACTCATTGACAATGACTTTACAGAGTAGTAGAGACTACCACAAGTGCATAACCTGCTAGAATTTGATATCAATTTTTTATTCGGATAGTCAAGTCTAGAGTTACTATTTGTATGCTTAGGATTTGTTTGATTTATTTGTGCTTAATTATTATATTCATAACTTAATTGTATGTTTTTTTTGGTAAAATTAGCTTATTCTTTTATTTTTGTTTGTGTTTTGAATTTTTTTGGTATATGATCACCTTAATGGTATAAACTGTTAAGAAAATATTTATTAAGTGAGTATTAGGTCATGATGAAACTCTTGTGTAGAATAAAACTTTAACTCCTTTATATATATA